TGTGTGTGTGTGTGTGTGTGTGTGTGTGTGCGTGTATGCATCTGTGAATGTCTGTCATTTTGTCCATGAACTCTGAAGAAGCATGTACATATACGGTGTTACATAGCTTGTGTGTGTGTGCGTGTGTGTGTGTGTGTGTGTGTGTGTGGCATCGAGCTTTTTCCATGAGAAAATTTGTGACCCAAATATGGCCGTGGATGGCAGAGAGCAAAGAAATCAATTATAGAAAACCGAGTACAGACCGTCGAGTTAATATTTCATCAATTGCCTCTTTATAAATAAAAACACAACTTCCCCGACAGCTATTTTTAGTCATGTCTGAACGAGCTTGTTACTTCTTTAAACACTCTGTGACTTACTGCACTSTCACTCTCCACTTTCTGAGACCTTTACGACTAGAGAAGCTGCACTTCATGCTAAACTCAAGATGAAAGACTTTGCTCAAACTTGGTGAAGAAGCAGAAACAAATTTGTTAAAACTAAACATTTCAAAAGGTTAGTTGAAAGCTAAATGTAGAGTAACATCATGTTCAATAAATTGGAAGTCTAAATAAAATAGAAGAAAACCAGTTGAGCTCTTCTAAAAACTTTATTCTCAGACTCCATTAACAGTTCACAGCAGGCCTCTGAGAATGAAAAGGCCTTGGGTATTATCTGAACCAAAACAATAAAAACCCTCTCTGAGAAGACTGCATAATGATTAATGATGAATTAACTTCTTAACATGTATCTGACTTCCTGGAGGCGGTACCTTTTACGTCAGACCTTAGAGCATAACTAACTACAGAGAGGTCTCATATTGATAAGACACACTGACTCTGTTCCTCTGATTAAACCATATGGCTGCAATGTGTAAAATACAAGACTAGATATAAAATTCAATCAGTCACAATTTCTTTCAGTAACAAAGCTAGCTGCAAGCCAAAGGAAGCAGAACACTAGCTAAAAGCTAAAGTGGCAAAGGCTAGCTAAAGTTTAGTATAACAAAAGGGTAGCTAAAACCTCAAAGTATCAAAAGGCTAGYTTAAAAAGGTAGATACACTACACTGATAATTTGAAAGCTAAAGGCAGTTTTTCTTTTTTTAGCCAGCCGGCTGAGAATTAAATAAGGAACCTAATAGTAGCTGAAAAGCACGACAAAAAAAGTAAAATAAAAATAAAAATAAAAACTAAAATTAGGTACTGTAAATATGG